TGTAATATCTTCTTAACAATATGATTGAAAGATGTTCGAACATTTATTTATATAAAACTGGTCAACGACTGAATGAATTTTCTCTTGACATCGTAGTCGACTAATTGAATTAGAACTAAATATAAGAGCATTTTCTGGTCGATGGCTAATTTGATTCGTCTCGTATATATATATATATATATGCAAAGATAAATAGAAATGATGGTCAATTTTTATCTCTCACTAGAATCATTAATGAAGATGTATAATAGACGGACGAACACAGGAGGGGAAGGGACATTAACATGCTGAGATCGAACACTTTTAATGAGTCGGATGCTACAGAGGGGAAAAAAAAGTCGAGACAGATCAGATGAAGATAGATTGTACCGAGGGCGTGGCAATGATAGATATTATGTGCACAACAACGCGTCATTGCTCTGTAAGATACTAGACACTAATTTATTGTTTATAGAATATTTCGATTGCATAAAAGAAAAATTGTCTTCTATTATATTTGTATATATGATATAATGATGAGTTGAGAAAATTTCGATTAGTATTTCTTAATTCTATAGAAAATGACTACTCATTTTATAGATGTTATATATAAAAATGTGTTTATTTTATCTAGAGGTTATATGAAATGTTTGGGTAATGGTCGTTTACAAATAACTGGACAATTTCAACGGCATACAGATTGTTTCTTTCGTCTTGTTTTATCATCACAAATAACTGATGATGATTTATCAGATGGTTATATACTTTCAGGAGATCTTGAACTTGGTGATACAAAAGATTCAATGCAACAAAGTCATTTTGCTGTTGTTAAACTTGAACAACAAAATAATCATACACATATGTTGGATAATTTTTATAAAAAAGCACGAAATTTATTATTGTTTGGTTGTGTATAAATAAAATTGATTTATTGTTTTTGACAGTAGTCATATATAAATATTTGTACTAGTCGAATGTTTTATCTTTATTGTTGTATGTAGTATTTAAAAAAAAAAATCTATTCGCCTTTGTTTTTTTTTTTGATAGAGAAAAATAATAAATGTGTTTTATGTGCATTTCCACTTTTAATTAATTAATTAAGCTAGAAACTTAATTTTAGTGCTTCGGATTACTTATTTTGCTTTTATTAATATGTGGTAATTCCATAAGGATTTATACATTAGTTTAATGTACAAAAAAATATTTGAATTAACTAATATGAATAGTCAATAGAGACTGTCCATAAGTGTATATACAGCGATGAATATGACATAATTCTAATAGATTTTAGACAAAAATTCATAGATTAAAACAGCAAATTCATGAATGGAAATACAGTATGTCCCAAAAGTTCACCCGTGTAAAAAAAGAACATAAAATATTTTTTAATCAATTTAAGTAATTTATATTATTTTTTTAATATTATGATAGTTTGTTCCTTGTATATATTTTCAGGTTAATTTCTGTGGCCAAAAGACATTGGAATACAAATAGTTGAAATTAATGATTAAATTTGAATCACTTTTCATTTGAAAATGCAAAATGCAAATTGGATTTGTCATACAAACACTAGATGTAGACTGTATTATGGAAATACTGTTCAACTCTTTTGTGAAACTAGCGCAGAAGTCAATCGATTTAGTTCATAATGCTTGTGAAAATAAGCCATTTGTCGAATGTTTGAACTGTTGCAATAGTCTATTTCATCTCACGAATCACAATACATCGAATGATGACTGAATATCTTTCGATCAAGCTCTGCAAAGTATAATTTATTCAATAATTTCACGAAGAAGATTTACAAGATTGAACTGAAATCGTCAAACTTTGATATCAGTGTTCGAGAACATTAACAATTAAGAGAGTTAGTTTGTTTTACCGAAAAAGTCGCTTTAGGTAAAAATATTAATGTAGTGAAATAAATGAAATATATAACTTTATTTAAACGAAGAAAAACATATAATATTATATAATTCAAAATCTCAAGTTTTATATATTTTAGTTTATTTAAATTCGCTTTTCTTTTAAATGATTTATCCATAAATATAAAATTCGAAAAATAAACTTTCTTAAGTATTTTTTCAAATATTTGGAAACGAATGAATTTATATATTTCAAATGATAGTAATTCTACCTAAAATTTATTATAAACTAAATTGTATGAAATAAAACTTTAAAAAACGTACTATAAGATTGAAAACAAAATTTTCAAATACTCCTATTGATTTCTCAGACACCCTGCATATGTTGTGTCTGTCTATTCAAGCACTCCATGAGTTTACAGGAATTACGGCCTCTCACTTCATGTGAAAAAAAAACCAGCAGAAAACCGACGATTTTATCGGGCCAGTTACTGGCTTCCATTGCAGCAATTAACCGCGGTTTACGGCTAAAAATGATCCGATTTTTGCGACATGGGACTCCATGATCTTCGTGGACGAAAAAATTTGATGGATTTTATTATTAATTATTGCAAAAAAATGTTCTAATTTAAATTCTATGAGCAGAAATATAAACTATTCAGGCCAATGATTTCGGCACTTGAATCCGTGAATTTCCGGCAGAGAAACTCGGGAAAACGGCCACAGCTTGGAAGTAAGAATCCTGTGATCGGATTTTTCTAGTTCTGCTCGTAATTGGTATCCCTACAGATTTCTCAAGTTTTCAGACCAAAAACGACCCGTATTTCATCACCTCATTAGGCCTCTTTGTACTGACAAATTTAATTCTTCGAATAGATGTCGCTCGTATACTTAAGACATATACGTAGTTTTTTGAATAATGTTAAAAATAAGAAAAAAAAATATTTTTTTCTTTTTATCTCCTTATTTAAAATATACTGTATATTTTTATTTAAATCAAACAAAGGTTTTAAATATAGAATTCTATTGGTTCAATAAGTAAGCGTGTCACGCTCACCGACAATTATTATCTTATTTATTACATATTCCATTTCTTTCTTTTTTCTTAAAAAAAAAGAAATTTTTAATTGATATCTTTTAACCGCGAATGGGTCTTGGTGGTAGTAGTTTAAGTATTCCAGGTGGTGGTACTGAAGGTTTTCATGTTCTACGTGTTCAACATGGATCACCAGGACATAAAGCTGGTTTGGAACCTTATTTTGATTTTATTGTTAGTATCAATGGTGTTCGACTTGATACCGATAATGAAAAATTCAAAGAAATTTTAAAAGAAAATATTAATAAACCAGTTGAATTACTTGTTTATAACAGTAAAACACAAACAGTTAGACAATTACAATTAACTCCACATGAAAATTGGGGTGGTCAAGTAATAATAATAAAAATAAATTTCTTCTTATTTTTTTTTTGTTCTGTATTTAATTTTTTCCATAGGGTTTACTTGGTTTAAGTATTCGTTTTTCATCATTTGATAAAGCAAATGAAAATGTTTGGCATATACTTGATGTTCAACCACATTCACCAGCTCAATTAGCTGGTTTACGTTCTAATACAGATTATATTATTGGAGCTGATACTTTATTAAATGATTCGGAAGATTTTTATGCATTAATTGAAAGTAATCAAGGTAAATCAATTAAACTTTATGTTTATAATTGTGAAAATGATTCAACACGTGAAATAAATCTTACACCAAATATTGGATGGGGTGGTGAAGGTAGTTTAGGTTGTGGTATTGGTTATGGTTATTTACATCGTATACCATTACGACCAATTAATTCACCTCCAGTAACAAAACCAAATCCATTAATTGTTAACGGTGATAAAGCACCATTACTTTCTGCAATACCTCCACCAAATATAGCCACTGGAACAAATTTGAGTTTTACACTTCAACCTGTTAATATGCCACCAATAACAGTTACTATGCCAAGTTTACTTATCCCATCACAAATTAATAATACAAATACAACAACAGCCACAACAAATGAGACAACAACAACAACAACAAATATATCTACTGATCCTAGTCAATTTTCTAAGTATGAATAAAAATCAAAAATTTCTTATGATTCTGATAGAATGAAAACTTCTAGCAATAATCATTCTGCTTTAAATACTAAGATTCAATGAAAGATAATATAGTATTTTATACATAGCTTAAGGCAATGGTTGTTTTTTTTTCTCTTTCTATCATCAAGAAATACGCAATAAATAGCTTAAATCTACTTAACTAAAATAGATAATGCTAAGAGTTCATTAATATAAAGTATTGTTGAACATACTTTCGTCATTAGTAAACGGATGGGGTATAGTAAACTTATATGTTTTATATTTCAGTTTTTAATTATATAAGACATTGTATTAGAGCATAAAGTATATCACAAGATGCACTGTGAAAAAATCTACATTTTACGAAGTACAACTTATTTTTCATTTGCACTTTTTGTTTTCAAAATAGAAAATATTCTGAGCAATACAATTTTAATGCTACGAGAAAGATAATTGTTTAATAAATGATGAATTTCTTTTTCTAAATGCTTCGGTTTTTTTTTTCTAATACAACGTATTATGTGATTAATAATTAAAATGCAAAAACGCTACTCTTTATTATGTTTCACCCATTATTTAGATTATATTAGTAGTCTAAACTGATGAAAAGATAATAATAAAGTATATCAAGTTTTGTAGTTACATAAACAAAACCTGACATTGATAATCCTTATCGATCACATGCATAGTCCTAAATAACACTTTATAGAAGCAAACAGTAATTAGTTGTAATAGAATCATCATCATATTTGTCTATAACCAATTTGCTCAAAAAACTTAGTTTATTACAAATAGGATCTATTATAATAAATTCTGTCGCGAGATATAAAATCTTATTAGTTCATATAATCTACTTTATCATTCCTTCTGAAAATGTTAATACAAAAAAATAATAATAAACCTTTTCTGAAAGATATGCAAAGTACCACTAAACATCAAACAAAATCATACTTTAGTTATTACATTCTTGTTTTTTTCTTCTCTACATCCGAATCTATTACACATGTCAAACTTGAAAGTTGAATACAATTATTCAAGAATGAAAACGAAATTTGGAACCTTCTACATCCGCGTCGCGGAGTGAGGACGCTATATGCAACCAAATTTTTTGGTTTCGATCCTGGTTCGAGTAATTGCTTTTCTAGTAGTCCTAGTGTCGGTAACCGGTACCAGTTCCGAGTCTGAATCCGACATTTGTTCTTGAATTACATGCGACGAGAAAAAAAGAGTAAAAAACAATAAAACTGATCATGTAAAATATAAACGACATCATAGTATTAAGACCAATAGAAGTTTTAAAATAAGTTAGACCAGTAATCGGCCGGTAACTCTGATCCATCAATCGCGGTTATAGCCCTGGTCTCCACAACTTGTTTTCTAGAAGTCTCGATCTAGAAAACAACTGTTCTAGAATTTATTCGTATTACATGTAAAATAATTCTTCATTTCTTAATTTTTTGATATATTTAGTCGACGACTAGCACTTTTTTTATAGGTCATATTTTTTGAATTATGGTCTGATTCATATGAGTTTTAAGATACATTGCTTACAACCATAGAGTATTGTACTAGGAACTTGAGTTTTGGTCGCGACAAATTTTTTTCTCGTGGTCCTAGTCCCGAACCATACTTGTCTCTGTGTATACAGTAAACTCTATCCTAATTTTATGTTTGGCACTACTGGAAAAGTTGTAAAATCTAAATAGACTAGAAAAACTCGGACATTTATTTTATTGTTTTCGACTAAAACGATAAATCGTATGGACTGTATTTCTTCGTAATATATTTCAATTAATATTTCCTTTTTCTATATTGAAAAAAAGTAAAAACTACATTTGATATTAATATTAACATATATTCCTATTGCATTAAAGGCAATTTGGTGATATGACACTAAATCCGTCATCATCATCATTATCAAATACTGTACCAACTGCTGTTCCTTCAAGTTCTTCAAATTTAATACCAGCTTTAAATAATATTCAACCTCCACTTCCTACTCAACGATCAACAAATTCAACTCCTACTTATCAATTACCACCTATCGTTCCACCTCCAATTATGCCTTCATTTAATCCTCAACAACAATATTTTCAACCTGTACCTCCTTCTCTATTCGTTAACTCTCAACAACAACAGCAACAACAACAAATGCCTTTTCAATTTAATCCTACTACAGTCAATGCTTTTCCACCATCTGTACAACAAACATCTCGTGCATCACCATATGCACATGATACTCGCAATCATCTACATGATTGTGATAGTACTGCTCATGGTCACAGTCATAATCATTAGTTAATTATTGTTATTTTTTTTTTCATTCGGGTTTAATTTTGATTTATTATATTTTATTCTTAAGTTTGAAGTGAAATTTATAAAAAGAAAAATATTCATCTTTTTTCTCTTCTTGTTTTCTCTTTAAGATGTAAATTGTCTATGGAGTGATTTATTGTGAATCCTCTAATATTGCCCATAGGCATTCCCTCTAATCTATATCCCAATAGCAAAAAAAAAGCTGAACTTATTTCGATGGTTGATAATCCAGATAAATTATGTACAATTTGTCTGCGCAAATTTTCATCGTTATTAAAATCTGATCAATTAATATGGAAAAAACAACTTGAAGAACAAGTTGATAAAGTTTATTGTGAAGAAAAGCAACAAGCAAAATTAAATTTAACTGAACAACAAAAACGAAAACATCATCGTGGTGAATCATGTCGAATTGATGAAGAATTACCAATACAAATAATAAATAATTCTTATGATAAAATTATATTTCATCATAATCAAAAATTATTTATTGAATATTTTCTTCGTGGATATTGTCCATTAAATTCTATATTATCTGAACATCTTGTTAATTATTTAACAACACATGATCAATTAAATGATTTTACTTTATCATTATTTTCATCAAATGCAACATGTCTTAAAAGATTTGTAATTAATGTTAAATATTTAAGTCGTTTACAATGTCATATACTTAATCAACATCCAAATATAATTGAATTAGATATTATTTTTAAAGATTCTAATTCAAATCGTACAATTAATATGACAAATGAAATGTTTTATCAACATATATGTCCATCTATATATTCAAAATTTGATGAAATTTATACACTATATGGTCCATTTATATTACATCATATTCATTCACGAATACAAACAGAATCAAGACGATCATCAATATCAAATAATTCTTTATTACAAAATTTACCAAATTCGTCAGATGAATTTTCACATCATAAATTATTAAATGGAATATTTAATAATTTACATCCAATGACAATTGAACGTTTAAAAATATTAAGTCTATCACATTATAAATTTTTTACTGCTTCTCATTCGACTGCTGCACGAAAATATTCACTTGGTGATATGTCACCATTGACAAAATGGTAAGTTAGAAAGTAGTTTTATCAATGTTAACTTGCTCTTGCGCTACTCTTAAACATACTATTTATCTAGAATTCGAAAACTAAATTTGTTAGATGAGCGATTATGATATTTGCCATACATTTTAAAAGTATACATCAAGTAAAAATGTGTCGCATGTGTTGTGATTAACGGCACGTTGTACGATACATTAAAGTGCGATACGAGGAGCTTACTGCTACATATTTTCGCCACGCGGGTAAAGTTAGTACCAGATTCGAGTTTTTGCCGTCCGGATTCGTCTCTATACTTGAGTTAGGTGCAGAATTTTACAGCGAATCCGATGCTGTAAAGATCACGAGGGATCATCGAGCAAAAACTGGCACTTGACCCCTAAACACTGAATTTTTCAAAATTTTTTGAGAAGTATTTGCTGTTCGGATTCGCTATTTTACTTGAATTGGGTCTCAAAATGATTGAGTTGGATTCAGCATGAAATTCTGCATCGAATGATATCGATTTAGTATGAAATCATCGAGCAAAAATTTTTCACCTCACCCAGCCACACCCCTCATGGTGACCCCCACCCATATGAAAAATTTTTTGCTCGATGATCCCATACTAAATCGATATCATTCGATGCAGAATTTCATGCTGAATCCAACTCAACCATTTTTAGGGGAAAACTTCAACTCGTCACGAATTTTGTTTTCTGGCTTTCGTAACGAATTGACAGTAAGAAAACCCGTAACAGAGCTTTTGTAACGACAGAATCAGGGCTTTCGTAACAAAAAATCAGGGGTTTTGCAACAAATTTTACAGGGTGATCGTAACGAAATGCAGGTAATTTCTGCAAACTAAGTCCAGCTATCACCCTAATCCTCATTACAAAATCCTTGTTGCTTCGTTGCGAAAGTTCCACAATTTGTTACGAACTCCCTGTATTAATCATTACGATCCCCCTGTAAATTTCGTTACGAAATTCCTGTATTTTTTGGTATTCCTATTTTTGCTGTTATGAAAGGTCTGTTTTTTGTTGTTTGTTCGACGCGTCACGTGACGAGTTGAAACTTTCTCTTTTTTAGACTCAACTCAAGTAAAATAGCGAATTCGGGCTCAAGTGCCAGTTTTTGCTCGATAACCCCTCTTGATCTTTACACCATCGGATTCGCTGTAAAATTCTGCACCTAACTCAAGTTGAACGAAATATAACTCAAGTATACGAACGAATCCGGACGGCAAAAACTCGAATCTGGTTCTAACTTTACTCACGTATTTTCTTCAGTAAGATCACCACACATTTTGTACGGCACATGCGACGCATTTTCTATTGGTTGTTTTGGAAAAAACATATTTCAATTTTTTTTTCAATTTAATTCCATTTAATTATTTCCATTCTGAAAACTCGAGCAGATCAGATCTCGAGTTGGTCCGATTTGCATCAGATCGTTTCAGGATAGTCTTCTCTCGATCATGGATCGAGATTAGCAGTTTCTCGACAAAAAAGAAAATTATCGAGAAATAATCTAGAAAAAACGAATATTATGAAAATTTATCTTTCATATGTTCAACCGCGTTGTTTATATATCGCAATATGTGCATAACAAAACACTGAGCAAATAGTCAGCAGAAAGAACGCGACAAATTCGTATACGACACATTCTAAGCACGACGTATTTAAATTTAGTGTGTACTGTGATCGAATTTTGGTATCAAATTGCTAGGATAACACAATTGCATTTCAGACAGGTACTTTCATATTATTGAGGGAAATGAGGGCAAGATCCATATCTAATTTTATTATTTTTATAATTGGTTTTTGAATGTATGTAGCTCTAATTACGAACTGTAAGAGAGAAAATGTGGCCGGAACAATAGTCCTGAATTAGAGATGTGCAGGGTAAGCTTTCTTCGTACTCTGTATCATGGCTGGGAAAAATTTTTTAATTCTTATCCTACCCTGCAAAATGTCTACATGTCTCTACCCTCCCCAACGTTTTGTCCAGCTGCGGCGATCCTTCGAAGACCAGGTTGATCACCCCGAATTTTGTGTTATTGGTAGCATGTACTATGTGTCTGTACTTCCAAAAATAAGTATTTGCTCTTTCAAAGTGTTAAATCTGGGCAAAAAACTGATCCTTATCTATCGTGCAAAACTTCAAGCTTTAACCTAGCCTACAAGAAGTGAATATAATAGACATAGACGTAATAATTCATGCATATCTTTGTGATTTTCCAAGGAGAATCGTATCAGCTTAATGAGCCGTAATCAAAACTATTAGCACTGATTATTATTATTTATTACAAAAGTCAAAACGTACAGGTCCAGCAAGGGAAAAGTATATGAATATTTATATGTGTTGGTATATGTACTTGTATGATCGCGTCAAGTCTTGAACAATAGCACATAATCACACCATAAAAGAAATCGAAACAAGTTTGCATCACATCACACAAGAGACAAAGCACAATGTAATTAAGATGATGAGATCGTACTTCTAACCTAAACGAGAGCTATTTTATCTAAGTCTGATAGTCGCTCCGATTTCTGCCATTAGCACGCCCTAGACATTTCTCAGACAATCATTTGATTGAGATCAATCTGACGAGCTCTAGTCTTAATTTAATAGTAAAGCACTTCGAATTTAGGGATGGAAAAAACTTTTCCTAACGAGGGAACGTTTCTAAGTGTCAAACTGTTTTTGAGTCGGAACTATGTACATCATGTAGATTCTGATAAGCTATGAATATCCTGGAAAGAGTTTGCGCTAAGAGCTTATCACTGTCTACTGTGGTCCTCTCGGGAACAATAGGAAAAGTGCATTTCGAATTTCGAATTGAAACTTTGCTTAAAGACAGGTCTTAATGAGAATAGCTTTTGTAGAAGTTTCAGATATTTAGATTACTTCTATCCTAAGACATGGCTATGGTAAAAGCCTATTTTTCATGTCACTCGTATACACCGACAAATTCCGATGTTCGTATCTCAGAATACATGCAAATGAAAAATCTGAAACTTCTACAAGACACTATTTTCGTCAAGGTCTATCTCAAGTCGAAATTCAGTTTTCTTGAGAGGATCACCGCATTCAGTTTAAAAACTACCATAAAAGTGCAGTATCTTCATAGCAATAAGCTAAGAACATGAACTCTTTTGAGGAAGCACTCATAGCTCATTTGGGTTTATATTATGTACATAGTCTCAACTCAAAACCACCATGGCTGACGAGGAAATCCATCGGATTGATAATCTTCGTTTGAACTCATATGTTGCTCTGTTATAAACGAGATAGCAACGTGATGGTATGACAAGAGAACGGAACAAAAGAATAATCTTCCTTCGCAAGGAATCGGACCATGTATCTTCTGCTTTTCAGGCAGCTATATTACCACTGTACTAGAAAGGATATCTTCTCTCCGTCTTACGAACGGGTCGCAACAGTTCGATCGTAACATGCTCATAGCTAGAATTCATTGCAGAAGTGTAACCAAGGAAGAGAGGGCACACACGATGCCTGTGCATCTCCTTGCTCAAAAAATACCTGGAGGAGGTACGGATGAAATACCTTTTCGCGAACCAAAAAACTATTTTCCTGCTAGTGTGCATCCCCCTTGAGAAATTCCTGGCTACGTCTCTGATTCATCGTGTAGATGGATATTCTGAAAGGGTTCGTGCCATTAGGCCTTTCTTTTCGAGTTCAGTAAAATGAGTATAACTCGAAAAGAAAGGTCTTATGACACGAACCCTTTCAGGATTTTTATCTACATTATGAGCAAAATATGAGTTCGAATGGAGATTATCAATCGATGGATTTCCCCGCACGAATGATCACGTTGTTTGACACATATCCAATAGATGCCACGTTCCAAACCTTGGTACCACCAGCCATGGAATGATCATGGGTAAGTCAATAACAACTGCTTGTCCCGGATCACCCACCCAATAGCATGTTGTGACATATACCTGCTCTTGCAGCTAGTTACTATGTATGAGAAGCTCAAGCTATTGAGGGCAAGAATTCTGCATCAGACCTACAGCTAATATTAGCTGTTGGGAAGATATCAGGCGAATGAATCTACCGCTAGACAGCATTCTAAACCGCAAAATTATCGGAAGTCAGAAATATTCTTTGTTTTCCGATTCAAAAATGATTTACCAATTGGAGGATTTCCCTCGTGAATCATGATTTTGATTAAAACTAGACGAAATACAAAGGTTAATAAAAAAAAAAAAGGAAAAAGAAAGAAACAAAATAAAATTGAATTTTTCTATATTTAGTTCGACAAATTCATCATCACCATCATCATCGACAATGTCAATACCAGTAAATTTTATTCCAATAAATCTTCGTTTATTATTAAAATTTACAAATTTAACATCATTAAATTTAAGTTCAACAGATATTAAAAATCCATGTATTGATATGATTATTGATTCATTACAAAATTTAGATACATTTGATTTATCATTATGTCGTTCAATAAAATTATTTAATTCATTATTAAAATTATCATCAAAATTAAAATGGCTTAATTTATATAATTGTTGTTTTCATATGCAACAAAATCCTAGTATATATCATATATTATATCAATTAAAGTATCTTGAATATTTAGATATAAGTAATGATAATACATTTAATGATAATAATAATAATAATACAAGTACAATAATTGATAGTGAAAATGATATAAATAAATTTTTACGTGAAGATAATTGTTTACCACGTTTAAAACATTTTGATATAAGTGGTCAAAAAACAATATCATCAATATCGTTATATCATTTTTTATTAAAACATAAAAATTTGCAATTTCTTGGATTGTTTTTAACAAATGAAAAATATTCATCTTGTTTATTTGATAAAAATGATTTATGTTATTCAAAATATCGTCATTATACATATGATTTACATCATATACAAACGGTAACATTAACAGAAAATGATATAACATTATATGAACCATATCTTATTGAAGCGTTAACACGTTATCGTGATCGATCTGGTTTTGTACAAAAAATTCTTTTTTATATTTTTTTTCTAACACGTTCATTTCATTCGAAACAACAAAATCTTCTCATTGAACTTATACTTCATGTTATGTCAACACATTCAAATTTACAACCAGTACAAATGGCATCAACAGCATGTATTTATAATTTAACACGCACACCAATAACAGAACAAATACATATTAAATATTTAGCACAGATTGTTCAAGCAACAATGAATGTTATGGCAACATTTCCAAATCATCAACAAGTAAAAGAAGAATTCTATTTTGTTTTTGTAATTAATATTTAATTTTGAATTTGTTTGTTTTTGTTTTTCAAGCTACAAAAAAATTGTTTATTAACATTATGTAGTGATCGAATTTTACATGAACCACATTTTAATTTTTATTTATTAGCTACATTAGTTATGCATAATTTATTGCATTATACTGATTTAGCTATAATACAACCTGGAGTAGCTATTTTATCTTTATTAACAACAAGAGTAAGTAAACAAATAATGCCAAAGGACTTTGCAAAATTTGGTGATCTGTCTTATAGGGTACTTATAGACCTTGTGATTCTTAAGATGTTCTAAGATAAACTTATGCAAATCCCTTTTTTAAACTCAATTTGATACAGTTATAGATGTTATTCAATTTTCTATAATCAATAATTTTTATCGTTGCTTTCTTCATACTTAAAAATGATATCTTTTCTTAGGTGTTGACTGTATGATATTTCAATGGATTCAACTCTGTGCCACAGAACAGGTGCGTATCGATGTGAAACTTTCTCAAAAATTGCATATTATCGAGGTCTATATGCTTCACAGATAACATCGTTCGGAACAGCAGAGACTCATTATCAATTAGAATAACCTTTTTTCTCACATGAAGAGGTCGGTATGTTGACGATATTTTAACAATACTCAACAGTCCCATCAAATGATCTGCACAGGATCCCTGATCAACTGATATAATAACTCCTTTATAAACAGAACAAAAATTTTTGGACTCCAGACTCCTGGAGGGAGAAGTATGAGAATATGGCTGCAGGCAGGCGTTCGATTGCCTTTATTCCGAGGATTCAGGTTTCATTTTTATATGAAACTCTACAAATATTTTATGTTCATGTCAAAAATAGAATTTTCCAGGTCCCCGTACTCCCCTCCAGGTATCCGGAGGCCAAAAAATTTTTCCATTTATAAAGGAGTTATTCATATCAGTTCATTAGGTATATCGTACTGATTAGTGATACATAACAATTTTATTACGACCGCTGAGTATTATTAAAATATCGTCAATATACCAGCTCCTCCATGTGAGAAAAAAGGCTATTCTAGTTGACAATGAATCTCTGCTGTTCAGAAAGATATTATTTGTGAAAGAGATATACCTCGATATTGTGCAGTTTTTTTAGAAAGTTTCACATTGGTACTCAGTTGTTCTGTGGCACAGAATTGAACGCATTGAAATATTATATAGACAAGGTCTAAGAAAAGATAGCATTTTTAAGTATGAAGAAAGCAATGATGGCAGCTATTCATTATAGAAAATTGAAGAGCGCTTTTGACTGTATCGAACTGAGCTTCAAAAAGACTTGGATAAGTTTATCTTAGAATATCCTATGGATTATATTGTCTTTGAGTACTCTATAATATCCCTCAAGCCAATATATCGACCCTTAGCACGCCAAAATTTTCATAAAACTCGATTTCTTATATACCATTTTGATACGCTGCAAATTACTCTATTAAACCACATATATAATGTTCTGATTTAAGATAGCTCACCAAATCCGGTAATAGATGTTTAAAGACGCGGAGTCAAACAATATATATATATATTCATTTTAGTCTGTCTGAAAAAGAAACTGGAGAAATCTTTGTTGTAAAACGATTATTAACAAGTTTAAGTTCCTTACTGGAGAAGGGATTACGCCAGGAATCCAGTTACTGGATACCTGTTTCCCAATAATATACACTTCATTTTTATATTCGAATGAATTTTCTACGCTTCTTTCTCAAAGCACGGAATTAAATTTTCATGAAATTTCTCAAATAGTTATTTCATTTGAATTTCCTGGAAATCGAAACTTATTATCTGACACAAGCAATTGGATTATGATTCAAAAAAAAAATTTCATTAGCACTTTTTTATAATAAACTTCTGAAAATGATATCTATCAAGTTTATTAAAAACAAACTATTCTTAAAATCGACTAGAATATTTTACTGAAACTAAAAAAAATTTCACAAAAAAAAATTTTGATGAATTCGAGGAACTAAACAATTCACAGTTCTCGAAGAAGTTCATGATAACACTTTGAAGTATAGAACAGAAAAAATTATAAAGGTTATACGAAATTTGTTCTTTTAACTGACTATTAATTAAAAAATAATTAACGAATATCTCTCTAATCATATGAGACAAAAATCTGAAACTTCAAGATAAGCTCTGCGGTGGGAATCGCATCTATGGTAAAATTTTCAGCAACATCGGACTCTAAAACCCAGTTTTCTAGAGGTCCTACTAAGTTCCGAAAAAACTCAATTTTGTCTTACCATCATCTACAGATTCTGAAGCAGGATTTGCATTGTTTGAAATTGGTTTTGAACTTCTCATTCGGTCATAAAAGTAGTTTTTTTCGTTTGTATATTCGTATTCCGTCATGTTGCTAACGCTAGGTTTTTTTTACTGACAATTTCTCTGAACAAAAGTCTCTAGCGCTGATTGTTTCAAGGTATCTAGAGCAATTTAATATATATGTAACATATAAAAATTAGATCTATGAAAGTTCATTTTCCCGAGATGCACGTATTTTCGATTTGCGAAACCAGATCGCTAACACATGATTTTGTCCGTATCTGATTTATCATACATCAGTGCACCTCACGAGGAAAGTCTCCAACTGATAAACTGCTTTTGAGTCGAGTCTACGTGCATTGTGTAGATCCAAATGAATCGTGAATATTCTGAAAAGAGTTCGTGCCCTTAGCTTATTACTGATTAGATACTACATTTTTACTGAATATTTTTAATGAATGCCATGACCCCCTAAGGAAATTTATTTTCGAATTTCGACTTGAAACTTTGCATAGAGACAAGCCTTAGCGTGAGTAGTTTCTTGTGAAATTTTTGAATCATTTCGTTGTTCCTACCCTAAGATACAGCTATAGTAAAAGCGTGTCTTTTACACGACCGGCAGACTCGATGCTCTTATTTCACAATAGAAGTCAGTCAAAAGACTTGAAACTACTTTCCTTAACGCTTGTCTCTGTGCAAGGTGTCAAAACGAAATTCGAAAATAAGTTTTTTTGTTACTACGGAATTCATTTAAAAAAATACCATTAAAGTGTTGTATCTCTGCAGCAGCAAGCTAAGAGCGTGAGCTCTTTTCAGAATATTCATACCTCATTTAGATTTACATAATGCACATAGTCTTGACTAAAAAGCTATTTACCAGTTAGCAGACTTTTCTCGTCTGATCTGTAGATTTGCAACTAAGCAGTTAGCTATATTTTCAAATTTTTTTTTCGGGTACTCGCATGGTTTATAAGAGCCCATCCAATACATATGTTTTTTTGTTAGTATTCTTTTCTAAAACAATTGAAATATTGTTTTTTTCTTTATATTTAAGTTAACAATCGATGAATGTACACAATTAGGTTCAATAACAAATTTAAAACGTTTACTTCAATTAATTGAACAACAAATCGAGCGTTTACAAACAATACAAATAAATCAAAATCAACAAGCACACAATGTACATAATGATCAAACTCAGCAAACATTAAGTGATATTGATATAACATTAAATCATACTCAACAATTAACTAGTGATGATACATTACGTTTTTGTTTAAGTTTATTATGGAATTTAACTGATGAAAATGCAATTGTTTGTGAAAATTTTATTCAATCAATGGGTTTACAATTATTTCAACGTCTTCTTCATTTATTTTCAACAGATACAATTGTATTAACAAAAATTGTTGGTTTATTAAGTAATATAGCAGAAGTATCACATTTAAAAATTTTTCTTTATTCAATTGATATTATTCCATTAATGCAAAAATATATAACTGAAGCTATACTTGATGTTGCTTTTTCAGCTATTGGAATTCTAGCACATTTACTTTATGAACAAACAGATGATGAGATTAATTTAGAATTATGTCAACAAATGAGAGAAACAATTGTATCATGGCAAAATCCACATACAAACATGGTTACATATAGGTAAAAAAAAAACAATTTAAATAATGTGAAATTAATTCTACAGAAACACGAACTGATACAGAAAGTTAATTATAATGTAAACGATTGTAACCTTCTTCGTCGAAAAGCATTTCGCCGAAAGACTCGTAGGACGCTTTAGACTATTGCGTACCATTTAATTCTTATATAGGCTTGTTCAGCACGAAGAGGTTAACTTATTTTGCTTTCACTCGCATCTTTGGGGCGCCCTCCGTGACCAAAATGCACTTTCGACGAAGTATGTTTCGGCGAAGAGTATATATACCATGTAAACAAGCCGGAATTAAACTATATACATGAATAGACGTGTAAACCGATTGGCTGAGCCACTGCCGCTGTCGACCGCAAAATTATTAAGATCCATAGGCCGCCGAAGCTGGAGACTTTTGTAGACGCCGCCAACACCGGAGACTTTTATAGTCGCCGCCGACGCCGGAGACTCTTGTGATCGCCACTGATGCCGGAGACTTTCGTAGCCGCTGCCGACACCGAAGACTATGGTAGTCGCCGCCGACATCGGCGACTTTTGTGACCATCGCCGACGCCAGAGACTTTTGCGGTCCTCATCGTTGAAGCCAGAGACTTTTGTAGCCAACGCTAACACCGGAGGCTTTTATAGTCGCCATCGACGCCGGAGACTCTTGTGATCGCCACCAATGCCGGAGACTTTCGTAGCCGCTGCCGACACCGGAGACTTTTGTAGTCGCCGATTAATGCATCGGCTTGCACATCAATTCTTGAGTATTGTTTTGGAAGGATTATTTTGCAAAGTTTTCTCTTGTATTATTGTGTTTTTCTATGTTTACATGTTTATCATCAGATATTCATAATAGCGGCAAGTAGAAAATTTTCGTATGATTTTTGAGAAGCAAGCCATAGCTCTTAAGATGTATACAGAAGATTCTATCGTACGATTGAATGAGATGAAAAGAGAACTTGAGAAACTTTATCAAATAAACTATTGAAGAACTTAGTAATAATTAGCAACTGATACGCCGGATTATCTGGTTAATTACTTATTGACTATATGGTGATATACATCTGTCACTGCGACTTATGATATTTTCTAGAGAGAATCAATATGTTTACACTTCATATGTAAAAGAACTGGAGAGTGAAAGTGAGAAACACTCACACATGAGATTTGTATTTCATGTCGGACTATTGTTCAGTAATTTTCCTAAAATTTTTTAACTGCAAAAAAAAATACAAAGTTGATACTCTCAAAACTTTTGTCATGCCGAAGCTAGTATGAAAGTCTATGATCTAAATTCAATTTACAACCGACATATATTTATCTTGTTACGAATTTCTCATATTTAGATCTTTCAAACCATTTTTACCATTACTTCATTGTACTCGACTACCAGTTGTACAATTATGGGCAGTATGGGCTATTCATCATGTTTGTAGTACAGATCGTAAGTATATAAATATTAGAAAAAGAAAAACACAACACAAAACTTTAATTTATTTTTTGCTTTTAGGTGCTCGATATAGTCGAATAGTTCGTGAAGAAAAAACTTATGAAATAATGCAAAAATTATATGATGATCAACTATTATCTGAATATCCAGATCCATTGATGATTCAACTACTCAAATCGACTCTTCATCTTCTTAAATCGTATCATTCAAATCGTCATCAACATTCTTCTGCTGTTGCTAGTTAATATAAATTCCTTTTATTTTGCAATCATATGTTCATATTAATTCTTGTATAAAAAAAAAATGTTTGTTTGTTTCTCAGTAAAAAGAATGTAGACAGTGAATCATGTATTTCTTTTTTTATTTTGATTCTTCGAAAAAACAATGAAACAACAACATTCAGTTCTTTTGGGTGATCTCGATTTTTTTTTGTTTGTTAATTTGTTTTTCTATTCAATCCAGCAGACATATTCTTTTTTTTTATTATTATAAATTAATCCTGCGAGTATTTATTGTGCAATTTTTGTTTCTTTTTGTTTATTAAGAAGTTCAAATGGGAAAGAAAGAGAAGTGTTTTTTTTTGTAAATAATTTATAAAAATGTATATATTCTATGTATGCGTTTGTGTATAACTTTGATTAACTCAGCCAGGCATTTCATTGTGTGTATGCTTTTTGTTTTTTGAAGAAGTTTTTATAGAAATAAAAGAAGTCAACATTGCTTATTATTTTCTTTCTTTGTTGTTTTTTTTCAGATTTAAACATGGCAACACGAGGTCCACCAACAAAAGTACAAAAAGTAATGGTACAACCTATTAATTTAATATTTCGTTATTTACAAAATCGTTCACGTATACAAGTTTGGTTATATGAACAAACAACAACACGCATCGAAGGTTATATTATTGGTTTTGATGAATATATGAATCTTGTTTTGGATGATGCTGAAGAAATTTTATTAAAAAAAGATCAACGAAAAAAAATTGGAAGAATTTTACTTAAAGGTGATAATATTAGTTTAATACAACAAATACAACAAACAGGAACACAAACTAAATAAAATGATTCTATATATGATATAAAAGAACAAATTTTTCATTCTGTATCTGTGTGTAATCATTTTTGTTCTTTTGGTTTTTTTTTTTTGTTTGTAAACATGAAGAATAAACGTACTTATTATTGTTATCATTATTATCGTTTTTATTTTTACGTCTTGTTTTTTTTTTTCTTGTTGAATAATGCAGACGTGTTACAAAAGAAAATTGCTCATTTTTCGGTGAGTAAATTTTAATAAGAGAATAGGAAATTTATTAAATAATGAATCATAAGTTTTGGATGGTAGACAGGCTTTTTTTTTCTTCTCTTAAATGCAAACTTATAAAGATGATGAATTATAATCTTTAATTATTGACGCCATTTTGAGTACTAGGTAAATTATGAACGCAATAAAAGCTTCATAACTTATATTATGAGTAATGATTTTTATGTATTTTATCTTCAAGGTTATCACTTTATATTTACAAAAAAAATTATTTCTTATTTATGTTTTTTCTAGGAATATTACATCAATTATTGTACAATAAATTTGCATATTTATTGATAAATATAGTAATAAACTGTCAAAGGAGTTTTGATTGTAATTACAATGATTTGAAATTTTCAGCTTAAAAGAATATTGCCTTCACAAGATATTAAATTCTCAAAAGACATAAAATTCTCGAATGATTTTTGAGAATTCAATATTTCGTGAAGAGAATAATCTAAGGACAAAATTTCAGTAAAATATATATAACTCTATAACGAACAAGCTCTTATCGTTTTGAGGTCTTTCAATACTTCATTGGTACTTACATTATGCATAGAGTCTGAACTTAAAAAACAATTTTCAACTTCGGAAGGTTTCCTTGTAAGACAAAAGGTATTATATGTTCTATTTTCTATGCTTTGTAAAAGTAGATCATGTATGTTTTTTTCTTTTCTAATTAGTAGAAAAAATTTATTGAATTTTTTTTTTTTTGTAGACGAATTTATTTATTTATTTATTTTTCTATTATTATTATTCAAAATAAAGTGAATAAATAAAAACAACAATAACTATTATGGATCAACCTGCAGGTGATGAAAGTACTGCAAGATATACAGGTTCACGTTTTCTTAGTCCTATTGCTGATACAGTCGGCCTACGAATTGATCAATTCAATTTTCTTGTTACTGAAACATTAGCATTAATTTTTGCTATGTGTTTTCGACATTTTCTTCCACCGAAGTCAAGCAATACACTTCCAAGACATTTAGTAGGTATGAATAAAATACTTTGGGATTAATTACGAGATAAGCACATTTATGTTAGTTTATTTATAGATTTTGATACATGCAATTATATTTTTTTTTTATATATCTCTGTCTCTCGTCTTGATTTTAAAATTATATTTCTTTTTTTTTTTTTGATATATAAAAATTAGATAAAATTTTATCAATTTTAGCAAGTCTTCTTGGCATTGCTCTTTGTCATTTCTGTTATGGTTCACAAATATGGCATATAATTATGCAATCATCTGTTGTATATCTAATACTTTATTCGGTTCATCCGAAACATTCACATCTTGTTGTATTTGTCTTTTGTATGGCTTATTTAAGTGCAGGTAAACTTTTATTAAAATAATTAACAATACGAAATCTTATTTATTGTCTAGTTCATATTTATCGTATAATATATGATTATGGAAATTCTACAATTGATATAAGTGCATCATTAATGATAAATACACAAAAATTAACAGCACTTGCTTTTGCATTCTATGATGGTTATCGTTCAACACAACGTGCTCGACGTCGAAGACCAGATGAAGATGATGAACATACAGCATTAAATGAAGATCAAGAAAAACAAAAAATTATTGATATACCAAAACCTATTGAATATCTTAGTTATATATTTTATTTTCAAGGAATATGTGTTGGACCATTATGTTTTTTTAAAGATTATTGTGATTTTATTGAAGGACGTAATTTACTTGTTATACCAACAAGTGGAACAATAGATAAATCCAATGATGAACAATATCAATTGTCTCAAATAAAACAACCATCTATATTTTGGCCTGTATTTACAAAAATTTTACAATGTTCTATGTGGGGTTATATATTTCTAGCTTATGCACCATATTATTCATTAGAATATAATTTAAGTCAAGAAATTATTAATTCTTCATTTTTCAAACGAGTTTGGATTCTTGTAATTTCAATATTTTGTGTTCGAGTAAAGTAAGTATATATAAACATTAAATCAACAACAATAGAAATTATTTTTCTTAGATATTATTGTGCATTTATTTTATCGGAAGCTGTTAATAATGCAGCTGGTCTTGGTTTTAATGGTTTTGATAAAAATGGCATACCACGATGGGATCTTTTGACAAATGTTAAACCACTTCAAATAGAATTAGGAACAAGTTTAAAAGTTGTTTTAGATGTATGGAATATACGTAAGAAATGAAGACTTAGAATTTTATTTATTTAATCTAATATTATAATGC